ATTTCATAATAACATGTTTGCTTTTGCACTTTTCTGAAAATATCCTATTTTAAACCCCAAGTATAAAACTTGGTCTTTTCGGTATTTTAAACATTCTGTATATGCAAGGAAAGTATCTTTTAAACAATTTAAGTGCCCACATATGTAATAGACATATTTGAGGGAGATACAATTCTATTGATAACTTTAAGTAAATAAAACCCAAGGAAAAAACCTGAGAAAGAGAGAAAAATTATACAATTACAAGTAATTCAAGTACTTTTGGCTGTTAAATTTTGTTTTCTTCAATTGTAGTCTGAGGTCCAGAAAACAAGAGGGAACAAGGAACAAGGTGATTTTATATAGTTAATGAATGAGTAGAATTCAGTATGCCAACTCCCAATTTTAGGATTTTTCCTAGTGCACCATTCCTGAACAAGCTCAGCAAGCCAATTTTTTTTCAGCTTTTATATTGTGGTTTATGTTAAAATGAAATCCTCACCGGAGAAACTATAAATAAATTGATTAAATATGATGGTGTCATCTCACAAGAATTTCAAAAACTTTTAAGAATTAAATGCATTTTTTCATTTAAATCTCAATTGGGCAATTGAAGAGAGAAACACATCTTCCAAAACGTCCACAGGGAACTCTGCAAATTTTTTCCATTTCATTGCTAATGAGCCATTTTCACCTGACTCCTGCTCCCATCACTCCCCCTTGAAGAACCAGCTGTCAGTTTCCACAGTTGAGCAGGTTTGGTACCAGACAGGTGGCAGCAGGGTGGGGAAGAAATCATGTCAGTGGGATGTAGTTAATCTGGAATTAGGATGATACACCTGGTATCATTAAAAATTGACTGCACATCATGAATGGTTAACTACAATATAATCAACACTTATATTAAATGTTAAAATTTTAAATATTCTTGAACGATCAATAAGAACATGTGGCAGTAGTTGAATATTTGAGCAGTTGCCTACACAGAGTTAGATCAATGATATCCATTTAAAAATGACAGATTTTTATACTCTCTTTATAGAAAAAGTGGATTCTACTTTTATGAATTTCGATAACCTTTTGTAGGCCATAGACTTTCTGTAAAAATAAAAACTTCTTGAAATCAGCAACAATGATTCAAAGGCTACAATGGTCAAATGTATTTGGAAGTGTTTTGTAAACTATGATACTAATCTGTGTATAAGTAAGGAAACCAGTGTTATCATTGTTTTTTATCACATGGATTGTTTTTAATTTTCACAACTTGGAAAATTTCCTTGATGCAGCAAACAATATCCATGAGCATTTGATACAACTCATCTACTTTGTCATAACTATGAACGTATGTGCTTAATTAAGTTCCTGTCTTGCTCCAGCCTAGAAATCCTCCCTACTGAAATCCTCCCTACTGAAATCCTCCCTTAAATGCTCAGCAGTGGACTGGATGGTTTCCCTTTGATCCCACACCACCTAGTCAGTGTCCTATTAGAGCACTTACCTTGTAGCATTGGCACTGGCTCTTCATCATTCTCACTCATGGGACATAAAGTGCTTATGGTCAAGGTCCTCATCTTGTTTACTTTTGAATTTCCAATGATCAACATAGTTCATAGCACATAATAGAGATTCAAGACATTATGTGTGTACTATTAGACTCAGTGGGATGCATAAAGTCCAGAAACAGGAAAAAAGCCCCCATATTAAGTATGTTTTCTGATTTGCTATTTTAATTGCATTTTGGCTACAGATAAATAAAACTAAACTGTAAAGGAAAACAGCAATAGAATTCAGGCAGAGAAATTCATTGCCACCTGTAAGGGGGGAAAAAACTAATTTAAACAAACAAACAAACAAAAAAACGGAGAAGAAACAGATCTGAGATAGACATACAGGTCAAATAAACATGATTTTGAAAAAAATAATAGAATTTGTGGGTGAGAAAAAATGAGATGTTAGGAATGGCTTTAAGATTTGTGTCTTACAAAGCTGGGGAGATGGTAGAATCACTCACAGACTGAAGACTCCTGGCAGTGAGGTGATTATTGTGGCTGCTATAATGAGGGGTCACAAAGGAAAGCAGACACAGTTCTGGGTTTCATGTTTAGACATGTTAATCTTGTCATGACACTGAGAAAAACAAGCAGGAAAATCTTAAAATAAATTTGAAAGCATTCTGTGTTTAAGTTGTATATTGAAGTTATGGATTGCCTAGGAAGACAGCAGAGAAGGAATTAAAGAAGGCCAGGATCAAATATTGATGAATCCAACACTTAGGAGCCTGATAAGATACAAGAAAATAAAAGTAAAATATTGAGAAAGGTAGATAACAATAAGTGGAATTTAATGTGAGATATAAAAACAAAGCAAGTATAGGGTATCTTGTCTGTAGAATTGGGTTGCACTAAGTAAGAATAGAATTCAGCAAAAGATGAAGTGGGTTGTGATGTTGAGAAAGTGTGTGTGGCCATTTGAAATAGCAGAGCTGTTCTTGGAGTCACTGTTGTCAGTACATAGTGAATAACAATTCAAGGCTTAGTTATAAGGCTTTTGAAGGTATTCATTTCCCTAGTCACCCATACATTAAGAATAGAAAATTATGAACAGATTCTATTAAAGATGATCACCCTGGAATAAGGCCAAAATGTTTTTCAAATCTAATAAAAGAGAAACAATTACAAAAAAAAGAAGACATACATTGGAGATAATTTTAAATAGAATCATTTAGGAATGTGGAAAAGTAAAAAATATAGTGTGGTTGGATGTCTTTTATAAATTCAAGATGAATGTAAGGACTTATGTTTCTTTATGTAAAGTAAAATCCATATTAGATTTTTTTTAAGTTTCACCAAAGCCATCCAAGATAAATTAATGTTGACTGAAAGTGAGTGAAGCAGAGTTGTGAATAATGGGGTGACTCACCTTTTTTTGAGTAAGTCCCCAAGTAAAAGTTCTTAAGGTATTAGAGTAAAATTGAATGTGATTTAAAAGGAATAGAGAAAAAATGTATAGAATGCCAAAGTTCATAATCTTTCATAACATGTAACTTGAGATATAACAACTGACATACTGACATATGTAAAACTCTGTTTATTAAGATTTTTATTATAATATTTTAGTAGGCATAGGATCAGAAATCATTATCCCCAGAAATTATAAATAATTTACTTATGATATATAGTAAATTTGTGTCAGAAACCTGAAGAAATTTGACTTGGACTCCAATTGAGTAATTTCTATACCACAACAAGCTCTCTTAAAAACAGCCATGAGCTTATTAATAAGACAAAACTGAGAGATTTTGTTTCTTTGGGGAGGGAGGTGGTAAATGATAACAATCACTACTGTTAACACTTTTCACAATAATTTCTTCTTTTGCTATATTAATAATTAAAGTGGGATAATAATAATTGTTGATATTTATTACATGCTCAGTATGTACTGAACATGTTGGGAAGCTCATTTAAGTATTAAGTACCTCTTTTAAATTCCTCAATATTCCCAACAGAGAGAAAGGGGATGCACTTTGTAATTGTAAGAAGCAGTGATAACAATGGGAGAACAAATTCTGACTTCCAAAGACTTCTTCCTAATGATACCCCAAACAGAGAGAAACACAACTCTTCAAATCTAAAGTCAAATATTGCTGTTCTCTTAAGTCACTCTCTGCCTACCAAAGTTTGTAAATTAAAAAAAAAAAAGGAAAAGAAAAAGGAAAAAGAATACACACACACACACACACACACTTGCATTTCTTTTTCTTTTTAAATTTTGTGTGCTAAGCCACAGAGTAGAAATTTATAATTCCTAAAATGTTGAGAAAGAAGAAAAAATAAAATAAAATAAAGATTGAAGGAGGAAAGAGATGGAAGAACAAGGAAAGCAATTCATAGTCCTTTTGCTTCTAGTCTCGACAAAAATGACACCAGCTTGATTGTTAAGACATCAGGATACGTTACCTGTTTTCTCACATGATTTTGTACACAGAGTAATCCTCAAAAAATATTTAACTTTCAGTGTCACTTTTAAAAAGTCAATTGTGTACTCCAATTTGGATTTGGATTTGATATCAGAAATAAAAGCCAGGGTTAAAAAATATATCTGATGTTGACTCATATGAAATTGCTAACACCTTAGTGTCAGGGAAATGAAAGTTTCCCGTGGTTCCAACTAATATAAGGTATAGTCATATTATCAATGATCTTGGTGTGGACTATGCAGAATTTAAATACTTTTTTCAATCTTATTAAATATACACCTGAGATTTCCCTGACTCTTGGTATAATCTTAATATGGAATTCAAGTCCAGGACCTTCAGTCATTAATGAAATATTACAAAATTTCGATTCCAGTTTAGTTATTTGACATATGTTTGTGTGTGTGTGTTGTGTGTGTGTGTGTGTGTGTGTGTGTGTGTGTGGTTATGCTCTGTTTTTTATACTGGAACATTTACAAATCTATCAAAGAATAAATTCTATTCAAGTACAATTTTCATTGAATGGTTAATTTCATGGAACAATGAATTTTGTTAATATTAAAGAAAACAGAAGTGGCTCACATATGTAAATTTTACCGGTCACCAGAGAACAGGCACTAACAGTTCGCAAGACATTTTAAAATGTGAATAACTTGTAAGCTTTTATGAAGGAATACTACACATTTTAAAACTTTTAAATGAAATGAATAATAGAATAAAGTTACACATGCTAAGGACAGCATGGGATTATTTTAAAATAATTATGAAGACAAGAAGAGATGAAAATGAAGGTATGTATTAATATGTTAAATATATGAAGCTATTGTAATTTATGAATGCTTACAGTGATATTCTTATATATTTTATTCAACACAAATATGGAAAAAAATAAATCTATAAGTATTTGTATAGGCAAAAAAAAAGAATAGTGATTGCCTGTTTAACTAAATAGAACTGATATGAAATATTTAATAAAACGTGGTTTTGGTCAATAAAGAAAAAAATGAAAAGGGGCCATTTTAATCACAATAATCTCATTTTTAAACAGGTGTTCTTAAAAGATTGCCATTTAATGCCATTCAAGATCTACAAAGCATGATTTCTGCATGATCCCTACAGAAGGATTACTTTACAGAAACCAGTTCCTTGTTCAACAGAATAATTTGGACCCTATTTCAGAAAGCAGGTACTGTTTTCTTTGTGTTCAACTGTATTTAAAACTAAAAAGAATGCTGAAGGAAATCAAAACCATAAAGCCCTTGTGGCCCATTTATATAGCTTCTCATTTATAGAGTTGCTTCAAAATGAATAAAGCTTAATATGTTATGCACTCAAATTAAGTATGTTTTATCTTTGAATTGTAAACATTTTAATGGTGTCGTAAACATAAATACTATCAATATTCTAAAAATGTAAAAGTAAAATGGTAAAACATTTTGTTTTTATTTGATTTTAGTTTGACATGAGCATAGCAAGTATACAAAATAGTGTAAAATTACAGAAAAATTACAGTAATAAAAGCAATACTCTGGAATAGCCTCCTACTTTGTGATATTTTCCTCAATGTGCAGTGTGTTAGTGGATATACTTTGTGTTTTTTATGATGTGTATCAGTTTGAAGACTGCCATTAAGTAAAATAAACAGGAAGTCATTATCCAAGAGAGGTTGAGTCATCTCCACCACAAGGAGGGTTTCTCCTAAAGGGAAATGACTTCCATACTGTTTGTGCAGAAATTTCACTTTCTTACATATATAATGATCAACAAAAATCATTAAATATGAATTATACATATTATGAGAACAGTTGACTGTTGTGTGACTTAATAATAGTCCTTTAAAACAGATATGGGGACCAATAAATATCTCAAATTAAATCCACTCTGTGTTAATTAACTATAATACTTATGATACTTATTGTTATTATAAGTATTAATTATAATAATTATGATAATCCAAGAAGGTGGTCATTTTATTCTTCATTTATAATGATCTATACTTGTTTTCTAATTATTTATAAAATAATGACAATATTAGTTTCAATTGCTAAGATGTCACAGCTGTCCTCTAATCTGTCAGTTTAATTCACAGTAATTGATTCAACATGTTGGAGGATATTTTTCTCAGCTTATTCTATATTTTCAGTATCTGTAAGCTTGGGATTTGGGGTAAAAGAAGAAAAGAAACTAAATCAGAGTTTGAGGGTGTTTCTAGGTCAGAGTATCAGGGTCTAGTACATTGAATTTTACTTTCTACTTAGTAACATCCAAATTTCAGCAGGTCATTGCAGAAAACTTTGCACTTCTCTGCCTTTAATTCATCTGTTAAATCATCTTAATTTACTATCCTGATTCAAGCACCTAACTGTACTAGGTATTCTTAAGTTTGTGGAAAAAAAACAATCATAATTTTTCTTCTTAAAAAAATTAGAAAACAAGGGAAGAGAAAGGATTTGGAAGGGAACAGAAAGTCACTAACAGTGTAACCCCCAAACCATGGAAAAAGTGAATTTCTTAAAAATTGGTACATATTATAAAAATGTTAAGACATTTTGTTACAACGAGAATGGCCTCAGAATAGATATTGTGTACAAAATTAAAAAATAATAATTTGTATTATCTCTACAAATATCAGCATCTTGGAAAGTGTTATTTTCTGTACATAAAGCATTTTTCCTTAACTCTTAATGATGGAAGTATTTTAATTAATCTGACTCCATATTAAATTTCTACTTCTGAGATATCTGTGAATACTAGAAATAAATTAAATCTAGGCACCTTCATTGAATTTTGCAATGTTAGAAATAAGTTGTGTGTGGTGCTTGTGAAATTCAAAGAAAATCAAGTGAACACAGCATAGCAACTGTAGGGTAGGGTTTTAGAGGCCAGGTTCACTTCCAGATGTGTGATGTAAATGCAATGTAAATTTATACTAGACCTATCAGCAGATGGAAATAGAATGGAGTAAATACCTCTACCACCTCCTAACTAGTACATTCTATCAAATACCAACTGAACTGTATTAAATTCATGTAGTTCAACAGAGCTCTAATTAATTTTTGAGAAGAGGCTTTTTCTGTCAACCTATTAGTAAATCCAGATTTCAAGTTGAGGATATGGAGTTTATTCAACTGTACAGGGAACCTATGGAAGCTTGTTGGCAGACCACAGTTCACTCTTACCATGTCACTCCTGTTATTGCTCTGTGCAACTAATTGAAAAGCATATTGGTAGAAAAGGAAACAATTGAAACAGATGAGAGACAGATTGAACACTGCAAAAGGATGTAAGTGAATTACAATTGATGAATCTGATGAGAGTGAATTCATAGTGTCACTTTAAATAGAGACCCATTTCATTCATGTCCAGTGCGTAATCTGTCACTACAACCACTAAAAACTTTCAGGGGAGACACTGACAGTTTCATTTTGACACAACCAACTAAATTTCTGCCATAATAAGAGGTAACATATATTAAAAGGGGTCCTGAGTTCAGCCTTTTACAATGAAATGTTTCCCTCAGTACCTTATACAACTCTCTGCAGTAGGCATTGGCTCAGTTCCAAGAGGAAGAGCTTCTTTCCATTAAAGAGTAGCCTGCTTGACTCTTGGTTTATAGATTTTCATAGTTAGCAGGCTTCTCATCACCCGATGAAAGGAAACCTCTACTCCTTAGTATCAAAATATTTGGAGGGTACTATAGTTGGAAAGAATAAAGTTGAAATATTTCAAAATATAATTTTCATCATTAATGGTCATGAAAAACTTGATAGAAAAATTTAAAAAATCTTTGCATGAGTGACTGCCACACACACATGCATATTAACAGCACAGTTGCCTGTTAAAATGTTCAAAATGTGGTATTCAGGGTTGACATCTTACAAAAATTTCCATGGAGACAGTTTAAATACTATAAAGAATTTTCTAAGGATAAGAGTATCCACAGATACCTTTCAGGGCAATATGTCCAAATCAATAGAAAAAGGCATTGATAATTCTCAGGATAGGAGATGGTACAGTTTCTTACAAAACTCTCATTCAATAATAAAGTATTAATTAATTTTGAAGTGATTGCTATAAACATCTGTATTTTGTCAATTGTAAAATTAGTTATTTATTTTAACTATATGTGTAGTGCTTTTGGAAAAAAAATTGTCCTTTGAAATATTTTATTGGAAATTTTTCATATGAAGTATATAAAATGAGTAGAGATGTGAACTAAAATAGAATGCGTAAGCAATTTATCAAATGGTAAGAAAAATTATTGTACAATCTGAAGTTACATAAACTCCCTAGGCAGAATTTATCGCTATCTGCAGTTTGTGGAGGGATCTTTCATTAGCTATCAGTGGATTATTCTCGATATAGGTCTATTCATAGAAGACATATTGAAGAATTAATATTTCTCAATTTGGAGTTCCTAAGGAAATGAAATAAAACTGCTTACCCAAAGACAGAAGGAGAGGAAAAACAGTATAAATTTCAGTGTGATAATATGACATGTTTTATAGTGCAGAAATGTTTGCAAGCATGATAGAAGGTGTTCATATATTGTAAATATTCAAACACTTTGATTAATGTGAATTTATGAAAAATATTTCATATATGATACTTGCCCAGTAAATATTTCAACTTGTTGGATTTTTTTATCATGGAAAGAACTCATAGAACAGAAATACTTACATTTAATCAGAACTGTGCTTTCCTGCCCTTGTTAAAAAGACAAGGAAGACTGCCTGTGGACAACAAATCCCAAATGAATTTTCTGGAATTTATTTTTTAGTATAAGAAAATTTTCATCCAATTCTTACATGCAAGCAATGAGATAGTCTGAATCCTAAGTCACTAACACTGAAAGGCTCCCCTACAATATGTAAGGGGCTTTATCTCTATGAGTAGATGGGCCAAAAACTTAGTTACTCTGTCTGTACTAAACCTGAAACACAGGGCAAATTCCACACAGACAAATAATTAATGAGATACAGACTCTTCTCTAAAAATCTATCATATTTACAGAGTGCATTGAGGAAGTTAGGACAAATCGAAATATTATAGGCTTTGGAATAAGGCAGACCTAAAAATGAATCTAAATTTGAGCTTTATCCTAATTTTTATGAACCTAAAGTTTCCATCAACTAAAAGTGAATAATGGGGGCTGGGGATGTGGCTCAAGCGGTAGCGCACTTGCCTGGCATGCGTGCGGCTCAGGTTGGATCCTCAGCACCACATACAAACAAAGATGTTGTGTCCAATGAGAACTTAAAAAAAATAAATATTAAAAAAATTCTCTCTCTCTCTCTCTAAAAAAAAATGAATAATGCCTCATTTTTGCAGGGAGTGAGAAGTTGAAATAAAACATCTACATTTATGTATACACACAAAATGTATGGAAGGAGGCAAAAAAAAAGAGAAAGAAAGGGAGAGGAGAGGAGTGAAGGAGAGAGAGGAAGTAAATACATGTGACCCCATTTCTTGTGACTAATATTTGCATCCTGGGAGTTCTTGTGAGATATAAGAATAACAGAAAATATTATAATACTATCATAAATGTTATAATATTGACAAAGTGAAATTGTGAAACAGCTCCCATTGGTAGTTGAAATATTAATTATATAGTACTTTGCTGGATTTGGTGTTGGTATATTGAAGCATTTCCTAATTCTCATGTTCCCCAGTACTATAGAGGCCTGGGAGCCTAATACCTGAATTTCTCATATCATTTTCCCACATTATTCTGGATTTTTATGTCACTAACTGGGACACAGGTAAGATAGGGAAGCTGTAGGGAAGCAGAGTCCTGCCACTGTCCTTCCAGCTACTTGGCTCCAGAGGCTTGCCTGGATGTCACATGTCTCAGTGCTGGGAGCTGTGCTCATTGCTGCTAGTCACTTAGAGTCCCTGTGATGTCTAACTCTTTGAAAGCTAGCAATTAATCTACAGTTTCTCTATGTTCTTTCTTGACATCTTTCTTCAGCAATTCTAACTTTGTAAGACCTAATATCTAAATTTCTTTCTGTGTAAAATACCTTGATTTTATCATTTTTTCTGACATAACCTTGACAAAGAGAAGATTCCTAAACACACACACACACACACACACACACACACACACACACACACACTCACACCAAGTAAACAAGTAAATGCAGAAGTCTAAGATGGTACACAAAAAGAGAGATATGTTATTCA